GCATTTCCAAGATATATTTGAAACCTCTTTGTACATTTTTGATCATCTTTCTGGTGACAAATACCATCTATACATCATTTTATAGAAATTCTCCTTCAATTTTAACCTTTTCATCCACGTGTTTTCCTATTCTTCTGTTTGTATATTATATCCAAAATTTTTAGCCCATTTTATCATACAATCTTTAACTTGGTCATCTTGTTTCAAATCTCAACAAAAACTTATACATTTTAGCAATAAGATGTGCATCATTAGTACACAATTCAGTTTCAAAAACAACTTTGTTTCATTCAAATCCATATATCTTTTTATCAACTTTAAACCTTTCTCCAAGTTGTACATATGAAAACCAGTGGCATGAATGTCTTTAACTTTATCATACCATAAATAGCTAGGCCACCCAAGTTGCAATTCATGTCCTTCCAAATTCAATAATCTACTATTTTTCAGCAACATTTCTCTCTCCTGGGATTATTAATAAAAGACTAGCAATCCTTACTTCATAAGTGTAAAGAGATTTGAGTCCAGTCAAAACATGTTTATTGAGCACACTCTGAGTAATACAGCTGGGTCCCTTTAGAGTTGGAGCTTGAATGAATGCTTATCCTAAAGACTTAAAACCCCAGTTGAACCCTCTGAAGTCACCAGAGCATTGCCTTCCCTGCAACACCCCCTGTTGACTTGTTCTAAGAAGTTCTCTTTCTGTACCAATGATTTGCCTGTTAGCAGTGCTTTGGACCTTGTCTGCAGCCGTCCAGATGGACCTGAGGCCAAGCTGCTTCTGGAGGAGACCTTTCCAAGTACAAGAAAACTATTACAGGCCTGGAGATCTCATTATCGGTGGAAACCTACCTCTCTCCATTACTGTAGTCCTACAGCAGCCTTTACGTGAGCCTCCCCTGGATTTGGATGTCCTTTCTATGTAAGTGTTTCCTTAATTGTCTTTTTTCTTGGGCCAATGTGGAAAGGGCAGTCTTGAAGATGGGGTAGACCTAAATCCCACCCAGCCTCTTGTGGAATCAAAATTCAGGACTCAAATGCAAAATAATCAAGGCCTCACTGCAGTGTTTATTAGACAGTGCACACTGGAGGGGACCCCACCAAAGGTTAGTGGGAGACACTCCCCTCCAGGCAAAATGGATACCCTGATATTTATATATTTCTACAAGAAGGGAAGGGAAAAGAATACATATATACATACATACATACATACATACATACATACATACATACATACATACATACATACATACATACATACATACATACATACATACATACATACATACATACATACATACATACATACATACATACATACATACATACATACATACATACATACATACATACATACATACATACATACATACATACTCATGTGATGATGCAGACATACATCAGTAAGCAATAGATCTCAAGTTACTTGCTACCCCCCTTCTTATCTCATCCTCCTACGAGACAAATGCCTTGTGTATTTGCCCCTCTTCTTATCTCCTATTTTCAAGGGAAACAATAGCCTTACTAAGAGGAAGAAACAAGTTAGTCAAAGTACCAAATGCCAGGAAGAATTGTGAGACAGATGCCTTGTTTGTGATAAGGCTTTAAGAAGAAGTTTTTTGCAATCACCCAAGTTCACACTAGTTGGATAAATTCTTTACAGCCAGCTTACACAAATTCCTTTATATTTCAATTTTATTAAAGTGATCCCATTCATCTGAGGCCTCTAAAAACTTACTTCTACTTCCTTCACCCAAAGATGTATTTTCCTCATATTCTGTTGATATACAGCCTTGATTATTAGGAGCTCCTTGATTCTTCTTGATGAATCCCTCTAATCTCCTTCTCAAGCCCTCTGATTCTTCACTGATGAAGAACAGCTTGTCACCCAGAATAGGGAGTCAGCCTTTTCTCCGTGTTCCTGAAGGCAGGGTACACGTTGCAGAGAAGCCAATTTGGGCTGAACTTGGGGAGAAAAACTGCTAGGTCTTCTGTCTTATAGCTGAATATTCCTATCGCTTGTAACACCATGCTTCATGGTTTCATTACATTCCATGTAGAGAAGGTCTTTCTTTTGTCCCAGCAAGTCTGGGTTCCCACCCAAATCCTATCAATCCTGGGTACTTCTATGCCAATGGGAGTGAACCTCTCTGAGAATCCCCAGGCCAGCTCTGCTGATCTCACTCACCGCTATAAGGAGAAAGAGTTCGACATTCTGAGACACTGAAAGTGTGCTTTCTAACTGGGGGCCATCCAGCAAAAGTCACACTGCTCAGGCAATTTAATTTAATTTAGTTTAATCTAATTTATTGGATTTATAAAGCCACCTAATTCAAAATTATTCTGATGGAATGATAGGTGAAGGGTGCCAGATTGGGAACAGTTGCTTGAGAATGTAGGGCAGAACTTGTCAGCATGTAAAGCATTTAGCTTTATCAAAAACTGAACAAATCCATGAATGAATGAAATAGCAATCACAAATAACCCCTGCAGTCAAAGCCCTACCAGTCAGAAGGGTTGCATGGCTCTTCTGCATTTCCCCTTGCCAGGCTTAACTGCTAAGAAAAAACAAGCATGACCATCCACTTTCCAGATGTGGCTCAGTGCACCCACTGCCCAGAAGACCGACACCCAAGCCAGAACCAAGTCCTGTGCATTTCCAAGGCTGTGAACTTTCTCTCGTATGAGGATACCCTCAACTTAATTTTAGTTTGTCTTGCTCTTCTCTTCTCCTTGATCACAATCCTTGTGTTGGCAGCCTTCATTAAACATCACAACACACTGATCGTCAAGGCCAACAACCGAGATCTCACCTATGTCCTCCTGGTCTCCCTCCTGCTCTGCTTCCTCTGCTCCTTCCTCTTCATTGGTTGACCTGGGAAGCTCACCTGTCTCTTCCGACAAACTGCCTTTGCCATTCTCTTTTCCCTTGCGGTTTCCTCTGTGTTAGCAAAAACTGTCATGGTGGTTCTGGCCTTCATGGCCACCAGGCCAGGGAACAGCACAAGGAAATTCTTAGGGAAACCAATGATTAACTCCATTGTCTTAGCCTGTCCCTTGGTCCAAGCAGTTCTTTGTGCCACCTGGCTGGTGACCTCTCCCCCATATCCCAACTTCGACTTTGACTCCTTGGTAGAAGAGGCCATCTTGGAATGTAAGGAAGGCTCAGCTTCCATGTTTTATG